AAGGGATGGAGACTGAGAATCCCATTGCTAGCAATATACCCAACCAGGTCCACCTCCTCGCGGTTCCCCCTGGAAACTATCATGGTTAATTCCTGATGAATTTATCATGATGGACTAACTGGCCTGTTTTCATTCTCATCTATCACCCTTCACTGGTATCCCATTAGCGCGGGCGGAGTTACCATACCATTTTCATCCATCAAAAAAATTATGTCTTTTAAAATTTTTGTGTTGTGTTAGGTTTAGTCAGTGTGTCAGACCAATTGATATTACTTTATCCACGGAGGAAAGGCATTGTTAGTAATGCGATCTAACAGCCCCATTGCTGTTAATCTAGGGCACATTATGACATCAAGTTGACCTCCACGTGGGGGGAAAAGGGATTAAAAATAAAAGGGCTAACAGCTTCTTTTCTAGCAATATAGCCTATGAGGTCGATTTCCATGCCAGAGGATCCTGAGAGCGCAGGCAGGGTTACTATCCCATTTTTATCCCATTAATGAAAAGACTTCATCCTCATGTCACATTCCTCGCTATTACTCCACTAATGTAAACAAATATCGCAGTCGGAGTTACCAATCCATTTCATTTGTTAAAAAAATTCAAGTGTCATGATTAATATGCAATGGTGTTACGGATCTTAATTAAGTGAGACAAAGATTATGTTATGGCCATAATTCTTTGTCACACTTGACCTGCCTTCTGGCCTAAGGCAGTGTTTACACATACCTAATCGAAGTTTCGAAGCTCTAAATAAAAACTTTGACATCTGACAAAACGAAATATTAAAACGAATAAAATGTATCTAAGAACGACGATACGTTTCTTAGATATATTAGATTTAAAATATTATTATTATAATTAAAACATGAAATTGTATGTCTACAAGAAGATTTTATTCCGCAATAAGCAAGATTTTGAATTTGAGAAACAAAACTTTGCTCCACAAAGAAATATAGTAGTTCCAGTCGTCTAAATCAAAGATTGTACCAATATGGAGTAAACTTTATCGATAGAAAAAAAGACTCATTGAGATTGGTTTAGAATTTGGGACGTAATCGTGTAACATACAAAAATAAATCAACGAACTGAATGCCTCCTTATTTTCTTCGCGTAAAAATGAGAGCTCTGAATCATTACTAATACTACGGATAACATAAGCATTATATCAGTATTTACTGTCTCCTGCTGAACATAAGCCTCTCCCTTGGAAGTTTTTGCCACTAGTTGCCACGCTTGGTAGGTGGATTGGCAATAACAGTTATTAGAAATATTTTAAAAGGGACACTACTGCCCATCCATCACCTTCCCTTAGTCACCTCTTATGATACCCACGGGAAAGGAAGGGGTGGCCTATTTTATGCCGGGACCGCACGGCAAGCTTGGCTTAACAGACATTGTTTATTAAAAAAAATAATAACAAAATATACTCTCTAAATAAAAATAACAAACCGAAATATCCAATCAATTAATCTATGTTTTATTTGTACAACTATTAATCAGCGGACTATTTTATGGTCGTGTCAATTATTCTTTTGTTTACATTTTCATTGAATTCTATTGAAAGAGGCTATAATACAAAATGAATAAGCAGTAGTGTTACGGATGTTAATTAAGTGAGCCAAAGATTATGTTATGGCCATAATTCTTTGTCACACTTGACCTGCCTTATGGCCTTAAGCAGTGTTTACACATACCTAATCCGAGTTTGAAAGCCCTCCGCACTAAATAACAAAGAGTTACATAACAAAACGAAATTAAACTATTTGTTATAATTAATCATAGATTGTAACTGTTACTTCATAAATTGTTTACAGTCTCGGAATTTGATAGTAAAAAGTTATTTGGAGACTTCGAAAGCTAAATACCTATTATGAATTATTGGATTGCCAAATTTTTCGTAACAGAACTATGTTGGACTTGTTTTTTTTTTTTTAATGATTTACGTTAGAGCATCGGAATGCTACGTTTTTGGTATGTGATCATTTATAAACATATTATGTTAGCTGTCGGATTTCAACAATTTAGCAATATGTTTTATATACATACGTAACCCAGCTCTTTGACTTTGTGTACATATATGTATGTATATGGACAATTGGCATATTTTTTTTTATGTACTGACCAATTTAATATATTTTTTTATTATATGATAATTTTTGTTAATAGATGATAATGGAATGATTGCTGTGTGATTTCGGCATAGAGATGCAACTACGGGAACCAATGGTCGGGGGATGGACAGCAGTGTTCATTTTAAAATATCACCAAAGTCTAGCTGCGGTTGCTAATCCGCCTGCCAAGCGTGGCTACTACTGGAAAAACCCTCCAAGGGCTATGTTCATATAATGTGCACTGATAGAGGATTAAACATAGATTACGTGAGGTGAGTTAACTCATCGTGACGAATTCGTCAGCATTTAACCATAATGGGTTTCAATAGGGATCGCGTGGAGGTCGACCTGACAGGATATATTGCCATGATTATTGTTACTAACGTTCTCCCGTATTTTGGTGTTTTTAAACAAATATTTAGTTCCGAATAGCTCTTCAAGTACAATATTACTTAACGCTAAATTTACTATTCATACGCTGGGAATCGGGTTAACTTTTTGCTTATGTCTAAATCATTTCGATGTACTATAGTGATTTAATGATTTTTTCTCGTGTTTCATATTACTTTCCGTAATTCGTTAACCAGTTTTTTGTTTAGTTAAAGATGCATTTTCCTTCCGTTGTTGATAAAAAGTAATTATGTTTACAAACTTGAGTTTACGCTCTTTGAGGCGAGTTCCCTTCTAATTTATTCTATTCAAAGGTTGCCTGGAAGTGATTGCTTGGCAATTAGCTTCTTCAACTTTTATAATGTTAAATTTTTATAAATAATTTAATTGTATAAGGAGAAAGGGTTGTTGGTTATGGGTACAAGAGGCCCTGTTGCTAGCAATATAGGACTTGTTACATGAATATCACATCAATCTCTACGGGGTCTCACCTGAAACTATCGTTATTGATTCTTGATGAATTCATCATAATTTGTCTTCACTCATCATACCTCACTAGTACTCTGTGAACATAGACCAATAGGGGGAAGGGATTGTTAGTAATGCGGACTACCAGTCCCATTGCTAGCAATATACCCTGTACCTGACCATCACCCTGGAAACCGTCGTGACTAATTTATCATTGAATTCGCCACGATGGGCTGACTGACCTACCTTTCATTCTCACCAATCATCCCTCACTGGTACTCCGCCAGTGTATACCGATAGCGCAGGCAGGGTTACCATTATCACCCAATAAAAAGAAAAACATAGACCAATAGAGCAGGCGAGGATACAATTCCATTTTCATCCCATAAAGTCTTTCCTAAGTCTCCCGCTGGTAATATTAAACCTGTCATACAATACATACATTACTTCAACAACTGAACATAGGTCAAGCAATGTAATGTAACTGTATGATATGATGACATATAAATTGCGAATAAAGTGTAATGCACGTGTAATCTAGCCTTTATTTCTGAGGCGACAAGGGCCATGCAAAGTCTGGGGAAATTATGGTAACATGGTAGGTATGTTGTGGATAATGTAAAAGTAAGGAAGTGGCTTCTATATCACCAATTTTAAATATGGAGAAAATTTTCATTTTTTTTTGTCTATGGAAGATTGGTAAATTTATGAAAAAAAAATGTTGAATAAATATTTACGAGTAGTATTAGTTCTAAATAAAAGTTACTGCATAATTTGGCCACAACAGAATATCAGTGTTTTGCTCTTTTGAGGACAAAGCAATAAACTGAGTTGTGACCATTTTGTTTTACTATGGCACACGCATGAAAGAAGGATATTGTTGTTTTATATATTTTGCTTTTTGTATTTTTTATTGTTTTTCATTCTTTTATCTCTAATTACTGTGTATGTCTGTGTTATGTGTATGTTTGTATTGTTATTTGTGTGTTGTAAGTAATGCAAATAAATTATCTATCTATCTAATTTAAACTTAATAAACGTTATGTAACTTTTTTACTTGAAATTTAGTGCGTTTTTCTAATTTGTTAATCAGGACACTACTTGTTCTTCTCCTGTATTCTTCAAGTACTTTTATAAATTTTGAAAAGGGGAAGGTTATGATTAGTTTATATTGATTGTATTTTTTGTACATGTAAGTATAATTGTAAGGGTGGGATGTGACGTGAATTTACAGGGTACAGAGGAATAACACCTGAGTCCTCAGGAATGGCAACGCATGGGGAGTATCATGGGCGAAACAGTATACTTTGTTATGCTCATATCTATAGGCGACGGTTACCACTTTCCATTAGGTGGACCGTTACCTTGTTTGCCATCCTGAGTTGTATAAAAAAAAAGTAACACGCTCAATTTGGCTGTGTATTATTAAGGAAAGAAAAAAAAAGGAAATAATTAATTATCTATATTAAACTTTTAGGTTCAGGAGAGTTCTCCATGATTCCTTAGCGAGTTGCAGTTGGCACAACGATATGGAAGCAACCGAGATAATCATCTAACTACAAATTGACATATAGACAGACAAAATTACAGTGCGGATCTCACGTAACGGCAATCATGTGTAATGTTGCACATCTTATTGTGATGTATGGACAATTTAGTGTGACTAGACAACTTGTTAGGAGTCGCATCTGAAGTTTAAACTGACTTCGAAATCAGGTTGTAAATACGACTGTGTATTCTGAAATACATTCAAAATTTGATTTTTTTTATGCAACTTAGAATGGCAAACAAACTGACGGACCACATGATGGAAAGTGGTAATTGTCGCCAATAGACATGAGCAGTACCATGGACGTAATAGAGTATATTGTTTCGCCCATGATACACTACCATATACCACCGTTCAAACCGTATAATGTATAGATTTTTTTTTTAAACAGTGTTTGCTGTTATAAAAAAATAATAAAATAAAAATTAAGTATTAATAACACTATTTGTATTTTAAACTATTTCTATTAATATTCTTACCTTCCTAATTGTAGAGGTCATGTTGAGATTTGTACCTGAAAACAATTACAGAATTAATTAAAATCCTTGCATTTATTTATATGAAAAGTTACTGTGTTTTTCTCTTTTACATTATCGGGATTATAAAATAAATAATAACTATTGCCTATAAACATGACGATTCTGTGTGATCATTTCAGCTCCCGCCATATAGTAACACGTAAGCAAGATGGTTGAACCTAAGAACAAGGAATTACATAGAAGGAATGATAAAATAAAAACTGTAAATCATATTGTTGTCTCTTTTCTTCTAATGCAAATATAATTAGTAAAAAGAGGACGAAAGGTACACCATCAGTTGTCATTTTTCTCAATTCATAGCAGGTTAGCGTATAAAAAATGTTTGATATGTCAATTATTTGTCAATGATAAATTTTACATTACTAGATTATATATTAGACACAGTGTATGTAGAAAGTATGCGAGCAGGTTGTATCTGAATTTGGTAGGGTTATACGGTCGTATAATATTTTCCATACACAAGCCTGCTATGAATTGGCAATTTTATTACTTAGGGTTGAACACTGATTTATTCATCGAAAGACTAAATAGAACAAATTGTTACTGGCCAGTATTAAAAATTGTATTAGTGGCCAGTACGTGAACATAATATATTATTTCTTTCAGCTCTTTTGGCGTGAATAACTAACATATAAACATCTAAATATTTTTAAATACTTTTTAGTACTATTTGCGTTTTGACCCGCGAGTTCGCCCGCGTTTAGAGGTTTCATAATCGGAATGATCTGTCAATTTTACAAAATAAATGAACATTATTCATTATTTCTATTTGACTATTTAAAAAGTAATTATAGAGTAATATTCTTAGTAAGCTGCCACTGAAAATTAGAATTTTGATGGGAAGAATCTATTTGAAAAATTTCGAAGCAAAATATGAAATAGGTACAAAGTTTTTAATGGTAGATTTAAGAGTATATCCCCGGCCAACATTTTAAATACTTTTAACCATGGAATATTAAAGAGTTCTCGTGGGATAGTTAAAAAAAGTATAGTTATTTATACAGCTTAGTACCTATACAACCTACTTAAATAAAGTAATTTTGACCTAAGGCAAAGAGTGTGAACGACACTTTATTTGTTAATTTGGTTCAGTATTCCCAGACACCATAAATAAGTAGGTACATACATCGATACATACTAAACAAGAATAACAAATACCACGCGGACAAAGTCGCGGGCATTAGCTAGTATGTAATAAGATACTCAAAACTTGCTGACATTAAATAAACATATGGCTATTTAAATAGTTGCCAACTCGATAACTATTTTCAATTAATAACGTTGCTCGACAGATAAGTGAAATTAATGGACAAAACTTACGTCTAATAGTAATTTTATTATTTAAATGTTATTAACAACAGTTTATATTGCAAAGATGTTAATCAAATAAGCCATTTTAAGGTAATAATACCCGGAATAACTTACGTGTATTTAAGTCGAGAATACTCGACTAGTTTCGGAACCATCCGTAACTGTTAGTCGCGTTAGTTAATCCGGGTGTACTCACAAAACTTTTAATAATATGATTATATAATAAGCTAATAATGTACATCAAAATAAACTACTTATTAACAACGGTTTAAACTGCAAAGACGTTAATGAAATAAGCCATTTTAAGGTAAGAATACCCGGATTAACTTACGTGTCTTACTTACGTGATTTAAGTCGAGAATGCTCGACTAGTTTTGGGATCATGCGGGACTATTAGTTAATTCGGGTATACTTACGAAACTGTGGATAATAAAATTAAACAAGCTATTAATGTGCATCGAAATAAACTTCTTGTTAATAATAGTTTAAATTGCAAGGATGTTAATCAAACGAGCTATTTAATTGTAATAAAACTCGCATTTACGTCTATTTTAGTAGTCGAGAATGCTCGACTAGTTTTGGGATCATGCGGGACTATTAGTCACGTTAGTTAATTCGTATATACTCACGAAACATTTGATAATAAAATTAAACGAGCTATTACTGTGCATCGAAATAAACCTCTTGTTAATAATAGTTTAAATTGCAAGGATGTTAATCAAACGAGCTATTTAAATGTAATAAAACTCGCATTTACGTCTATTTTAGTAGTTGAGAATGCTTGACTAATTTTGGGAACATGCGGGACTATTAGTCACTTAAGTTAATCCGGGTGTACTCACGAAATTTTTAATAATAAAATAAAACAAGCTATTAATGTGCATCAAAATAAAATAAATTAATAAATGAACAAAAGAAAACAGTGACCCTAAACAGTTATATTTTTGCGACAAATAGATGACCATTGATTATTTATAACCTAAGACGCTCACCGCTAACTTCTGCAGGTATCGAACTTTTTAATGAAAGTTTAAATTAAAGATGAGTGAACGTACAATGCACCCGGATTGTCTGTTGTTAGTTAATCACAATCTAGGGTTGCCAGATGAAAATAAGTAATATTTACGGCAAATTTGGTAAACTTATTATGTTTTTTTTAATAAGATTTACACCAAACGGAAATTGATTCTTTACTATATACGGTTGCCTATGGTTGTCTATTAAAATGGTAGCAAGTAAGAGTTGCCACCTGGCACTGTTAAGTTGCGGCCAACAGAGTGCATGCAGTCCGGTTGCATTGTATTGTATTTTAGCTAATCTTTAATTTAAACCAATTTTCATTAAAAAATCTTGTCATTGATTTGCAAAAGTCAGTAGCAGAAGTTGCGATACTCATGGGAAAGGGTTGCCTATTCTATGCCGGGACCACACGGCCAAAATTTAAGTTGACTTGAATAATAATCTATCTTTGTTTTATACTAAGATATAAGGAACTATCAAAAGTATATTAGGCATATTGGATTCGTTCCTTATTTAAGTTATTGATAGGTTATTACTGGGTACAGAGGAATAACACCTGAGTCCTCAGGAATGGCAACGCATGGGGGGTATCATTCGCGAAACAGTATACTCTGTTATGTCCATGGTACTGCTCATGTCTATAGGCGACGGTTACCACTTTCCATCAGGTGGGCCGTCAGCTTGTTTGCTATTCTAAGTTGTATAAAAAAAAAAGGTAAATCTCCGGTATGTAATCTATTCTATTGTTGTTTTATGAACGCAAAAGTTTTTACTTTAATACTGAAAGGTATTTGTAATGGGACAGTGGTACCAACTGCCAATAACATGGCCCTCGTAAACACAATTCAATCGCGTGGGATTGTTTCACAAGTAACTTGATTAAATTTAACGTTAAGTTAGGGGACAAAGCTGTAAATTCCTCTCGAACCTTTTATGTGCACTGCCGCCACGTTAGTTTACTTGTTTTTTTTTTTTTAATATAATTATTGTTTTTTTTTGTCTGTCAAATATATTTTGATAGATATCAAGTATTTATCAATTAAAGTATCAAACTTGAGTATTTTTATTGCATTAAAAATTAAAGAAAGGATTCTTAATTCGACATTATTTATCGTATACCTATATGCAACCCCATATCTTCGCACGTTGAGTTAACCGATTTCCGTTAGTAGTTCGGTTGTAATATACAACGACACGATTCACGACAGAAAATTGCTTTATTTATATACTAGGCATCGGTCTGACTTCACACGCGTAGATAAAATTTTCAAAAATAATATATAGTCTATGGTATTCGCTGATAATGTAGCTTTCTATAGGTAAAGGAAATTTTGAAATTGGATAATTAGTTTTTCAGTGAATTTACAGGGTATAGAGGAATAACACCTGAGTCCTCAGGAATGGCAACGCATGGGGGGTATCATGGGCGAAACAGTATACTCTGTTATATCCATGGTGCTGCTCATGTCTACAAACAAACAATTAAATGTTTCGTCTTTATAATATACAATATAGATTAATAAATTCAACTAAAGTTTTTGTTTTTTAAATACTAGTTAGTTAACTAAGGTCAAATAATCTTAATCGAAACATTTATCATGCGGAATCCACATATAAAATATTATGAGATAATTTGTAGTAAATTCTTTTTTTAGAAAGAAAACCTTGTCGTTGTTCGAATAAGGTTGATGATATGGTAAATTATTCGAACGCTGTTTTAACTACTCATTAAAATCGGTGGAAATTAAGTTTTTTTTGTGCAACTTATAATGGCATCAATCCGTCGGCCCATCTGATGGAAACAGGTAACCGTCGCCCATAGACATGAACAGTATCATGGACATAACAGAGTATACTGTTTCGCCCATGATACCCCCCATGTGTTGCCATTCCTGAGGACTCAGGTATTATTCCTCTGTACCCTGTCAATACATAGCCATATCCCACCCTTCAAACCGAAACACAGCCATGCAAACACAACTGCTTCACGGTATAAACACGAATGGGACATAGGTGTCCAAGCAAACGACTTTTGTACAAAGTCTCCCTCTGGTGTAAGTTCAAATTTACTGAATAAATATAAAATAAAAATAAAAATAAAAATATAAAAATTCTGAAATATTATTAACTAGCTAAATCCCGTGATATTGTCCACGTAAATTAGTACACAAAGTATCCTATGTACTAAATTAGGATATATCCTATCCGTGTACTTAATTTCTTTCAAATCCGTTCAGTATTTTTTTGCGTGAAAGACTAATAAACATTCACTTATTCATCCATCCATATATCTTTAGAAACTTTCGCTTAAATAGGCTTTTATTTATTAAAAAAAATAAGGAAGTGAATTCAGCATTCAGTAGTCTTATGTACCTATTTGTTAAAGAATATACCAACAAAAAAAAAACCAACAATGCTTGGAAGAGAATTGTATATAGTATTAAGTCCATCTTTTGTGCCAGACATTTTTTTTGGAATGTAGCCAATAAAGAATAAATAAATAAGTAATATACGCTTACGGCTTTAAATCCGGATTCTTTTAAAAAGATTCATAGGAATTATAAATAGCGAAGGATACAATGTAAACAGGAATTTAATTGAAAACGAATATAGTTTGACGCTTGTAGTATAGCGGTTTATTAGT